GCTAAAGCTCATAAATCAAAGCAAGTAATTGGTAATAAATTACCTTCTTAGGTTTTCCACGTGCACCAGACTTTCACCTCCCTTTTTGATCCAGAAAGGACAATTATCCATTCATTTTCACTGCTTTTTTGCTATATTTCCACAAGAGCTGGAGGAAAGACGTCTGTTCAACCGGCCATGGTAACTCCGCCCCCCGTGTATGTTTATTTAAATGTTTTTATTTGTTATTCATCTCCTTGGAGGCTCAAGTGGACTGGGAAGTGATATATAAATACGGGCGGGTGAGATGTGTTAGTGGCACATTAGTTGAATCATCATGGCTATTGACTAGACTAGACTAAAAGAAAGTCATGATGAAGTTCAAAGGTGAGACAGGGTGTGATAACATTCTCCAAGTCCTTATTTGAACTAAAATTATGGCAAAACTCACAGGGATGGTAAACTATTAAACAATATTGAATGCAGATAGGTTTAGCACAGCTGGTAAATCATCAGCAACTATAAGATCTATCAACCAAAAGGTTGAAAGTTAGAAGCCCCGGATCGGCGTGAGCGGCCGACCGTCAGCCCTGCTCACTGTTTACCTAAGCAGTTTGAAAACAGCTTTAGGTGTAATTAGAGAAATTAGGTACCACTAAAGCGGGGAAGATGTTTTACAACACCATAAAGAAAAAGATCAGAAACTGGAATGAGGAAGTCCTGACGGCTCTTCGTCATAGAGGATGGAGCGACAGCACCTCCTGTGGACACGAGCCCAACAGTCCATGGCATCAAAACAACACCTCCTTCTGTTCTGTCTGTGCACTGTCTATACAAACGGCATTGAATGTTTGCTGTGTATGTGTACTTGTGATCAGCCCTGAGTCCCCTTCAGGGTGAGAAAGGCAGAATATAAATAAAGTGTTGTTATTATTATTATTATTATTATTATTATTATTATTATTATTATTATATAATGTAATTTAGATATTATTAGACAAGCCACATGACACTCTTGCAAGTATCTGGTGTGGGTACACGTAAGGTGGAGTGGCAAGTTTGGTGAGAGTCAAGTAAAATATCATGCAATATGATCCCCTTTGAATCTATCTACTGACCTTGTTTCCAGTTTTGAGGTGTAGTCCTGAATGAACAATATAGAAAGCCATTGTGTATATCTTGGCTAATCCTGGAACTAAGGAATCTGAAATATAGATCTTGAAGCCCCCATCTAAGCCAGATGTATCTAGTCATTCATATACTGTTGCCTACAAGACCACAGAACAGTCTTCCTCCATTCTTTCTCTATGTAGTTTCCAATAGGCAGAAAAAGTAGGTTTGTGGCACACTTGGTATTCTGCCAACATTGGACTATATTCACCTTGATAGGTCACAATTTGTAAAGACCTGGTATAGTACCTACAATTGGATTAAGGTGACTCTGTAGAATGACTGACTTATGCCTTTCCATTAGACAAAAGACAAAGTTGGAGTCAACGGCCACGCATGGTATTTAGTTAGGGGGCTCTCACCAAAATGGGTGGTTGAGCGCTCTTATTTAGACCATGAATTGCAAGTGACTGAAGGCTAAAATCAGGATGATAATTTGGTGCTGATCAAGGTGGCCAGTTGCAACATTCACACTTGCCTCAAACAGACGAGAGTTCTTTCTCCCACCCTGGACATTCCACAGACATATAAATCTCACTTGCCTAGTTCCAGCAGACCTCACAACCTCTAAGGATGCATGCCATAGATGTGGGCAAAACATCAGGAGAGAATGCTTCTGGAACATTGCAATACAGCCCAATACCCACATCACTGTAGAAATTAGTGTGGTCCCCATAAGTTATTTCATTATTTTGAATCCATATTTCTGGGATAACGTCTGCCCTAAGTGGTTTGCACAGTGATGCGTGTTCAGATTAACAAACTGATAACTGCCTTTTGGTTATTCATCTGAAAGGTACAAATCTCTTGCCTAGATTATTTTCAATTGATGGGTGATCCACAGATCAGAGAATTGCCATAGTATGCCTTGAATTCTTTTCTGGTATAGTCTTCCACCTTTCCTGTATTTCATACTTTCTGCTTCTGTCTTGTCATCTTCTGTGGAGTGAGAAGCTTGATGGCCGTACTGCTCTGGACCTCCCATGGTGCCAAAGTCCCTGCACTCCCATCTTGGAAGGCTCTTTGAGAAATGCACTCGCTGACCTCTTCTTGTTAATTCTGGAATCCTCTCACACTTTCCTCTTTTTCATAGAAAAACTGGCAGCGTTTGACACTAAGTCAGTCTCTTGCTCTCTTTTGGTTATTTGTGTGGCACATGGGGAAGGAGCAAGTCAGCTGCCAGCTCTCCAGGACTCTGTTTGGCTTATGGGAGGGGCAGCTGCCATTCAGGAAGGCAAGGCGAAGGCAAGCGGGGAAGGAAAAGTCAGATGACAAATTATCTACCAACTGGAGACTGAGCAAAGAAACCATTGGCGGCATGTGCTGCCCCAAGGTGCTTCACAGAGACCTAGTGTTTGCTGCTGCTCAGTCAGCGCATCTCCAAGCAATACACAGAGAAAGTGGTGAACCTTCTTTTTGCATAACCCTGTCCTTGCAGCTTTTAACTCAAACACAGTACAAAGTTCCATTCAGATACTTCTCAAGTTTTTAATCTGTTTTTAAAATGATAGCTGTAGTATCAAGGAAGATCACACATGTGTGAATTCTGGGTCATTCAGCGTTAATGGTTTCGTTAGTCAGTTCCTATTTTTTAATTTCTGAAGAACCCTTTATACAGCCTCCAATATTTCAAAGATTTAAACCGGAACACATGGGGCCGACTATTATTAATTACAAGTAATTAGTATTGAATGATTGCCTAAAACAAAGATGTAACTAACCAAAATATAACTAACCAAAATATAGGATTTCACTCAAATGCAAAAAAGTGAATTATCAAGAAGCAACGTGGACTGAAATATTATGCACACAGATTTGAGAGTAAAGCACTGTTGAGACAAACTAGAAGAAGTGTTTGTGTAAACTTTTGTGGACACAGTGCATTTTATCAGATGCAGGATATGCTTCCATGAAATATTTTGCAAGGAGATTCTTTTTTGTAGTTAGTCTCAAAAGTGATACTGTAGAGCAGTGTTTCTCAACCTTCCTAATGCCCCAACCCCTTAATACAGTTCCTCATGTTGTGGTGACACCAGCCATAAATTATTTTCGTGACTACTTCATAACTTTAATTTCGTCACTGTTACGAATTGTAATGTAAATATCTGATATGCAGGATGCATTTTCATTCACTGGACCAAATTTGGCATGCCCAATTTTGAATATTGGTGGGATTGGAGGGAAGGGGGTTGATTTTGTCATTTGGGAGTTGTAGTTGCTGGAAGGTGTAGTTCACCTACAATCAAAGAGCATTCTGACAATGCAATTGAACTCCCATGACCAACAGAAAATACTGGAGGGTTTGGTGAGCATTGACATGAGTTTTGGAGTTGTAGTTCACCTACATCCAGAGAACACTGGACTCAAACAGTGATGAATCTGGACCAAACTTGGCACAAATACTCAATTTGCCCAAAAGTGAACACTGGTGGAGTTTGGGGAAAACAGACCTTGACATTTCAGAGTCGTAGTTGGTGGGATTTGTAGTTCACCTACAATCAAAGTGCCCCTTGAACCCCACCCCACTTGGAGTCTCAGAAACAGTTCTTCCCTTGGTTGAGTGGCCAGCTGAGAGGCCATCCAATCACAGCAGGAGGGCTTTTGGTGGGAGGATTAGCTGTCTGTTTCCAAAAAGGAAGAGAAAGATAGGCGGAGAGATCTTCAGCCTTCTCTGCCAAAGGGGTTCCTAAGACCATCAGAAATATATGTTTTCTGATGGTCTTTCGCGACCCCTCTGAAACGCCCTTTGTGACTCCACCCCTGGGGGTCCCGACCCCTAGGTGGAGAAACACTGTACTACAGGATTCCTTTATGTTTGATCACTATTTCTTTGAACAGTAATATTTTCGAGAAACCCTTCATGTAAAGAAATATCTAATTATTGTTCTTTTCAAAAGCAACACTACAAAGAATGTCTAGTATGTGTGTCGCAAAGGGTAAAATAAAAAAGGAATTGGAGATAAAAATTTAAATTAAATAGAACAAAACATATCAAAGTTCACCCATAACAAAGAACACTTAGAAGTGAGGTCAGCTCTGTTGCATCCAAACATTTACATTACTTCTGCCCCTTTGTTTCTCTACATTTTTTCACTGCATTTTCTCTCTATGTTTAGTTACAAACATGAGCCTGTGGAAATGTCTGCTTTGGACCCCAGCTGCCAGAACCCAACATGACCACTGTGTGCTGTGCTGTAAGCACTTTATCACATGATGTTGTAATACTCTCTATTGCCAGGACTTTGCTACTTTTCATTTGAATCAATGGTGGAACGCACATCTCCATGGCTGGAAAAAGACCTCAGTGGTTCCCCATATTGCAGCTTCAGTGACTGGGTGTGATTCTCATTCTAATCTCCTCACTATTCCTAAGCAGGTTAAGGATGGTTACAAATGATCAAGGGTATTCAAATACTGGGAAGAAAAGAGATGGGTCCATATCTTTTTGGGAGATGGAAAGGTGTGCAGGAAGAGGGGAGAGGAAGTGGGGGGGGGGGGAGGGAATAGGAAACAAGACAAGAAAAGAGAGGGCCAGGAGAGGAGAGCCAAAGGACAGGAGCATAATATTACAATTGCAGAGAGGTGTGATAATGATTGTTTTCAAATTTGGTATGTCTCTGGAATGTTCCCATTTCCTTTAGCATTACAACTGTTGTGAGACAATAGCTTGATGTGATAAAGTCCTAAGACATAACTTTTCTAAGCCCTAATTTGAGATAACAAATGCGTAATTCAAAGGGTTTGACTCATTGTTCTGAATTATCATTTTTAGGACTTGCTGATCCAACAGTACCCCAGATTTTCTGGCCAATGTGTATCTTCATCTCTTCTTTTCTAATGTACCTCTGCAGACGGCCGTTGGTCTCTTTGAGAGTGTTGTTGAGACTCATCTTCTCTTGCTCACTAACAAGTCATCCCCAATGCACACCGAGATGATGAACAAGTACCGTGAAGCAGCCAAACTCTTTCAAGGGAAGGTATGTAAATCCACAGTGGTAAAGCCCATTTAGATAGCTTATATGCTTGCATATCATGTATGTACTGCTTTTAGGTTTTGTGTATAGAAAATGGATAAAAACGTGAAAGCTGGCAGCTTGGAAGTGTGAACATGACTCAGCTTCTGTTCTATACATTATTTCTGTAAGTTTCAGCTTGTTTTTAAAAGGCTATGGTTACTGTTGTTGGCTTATAGTCCTTTGTGGTTTTCCAATTTGTTTTGGGATAGCTCTTTTTTAGTGTGTGTAAAGCTTGGAAAAGTCCCAGAGTCTTCCTGTAATGCAAAAAGTTGTAATTCAATCAATCAAATTTCCAAGTTCTGAGTGGGTGATATTATATGATTATGTCCACACAACTTTTTCCTAAGACATATTTAATTAGGTTGGTGGCAGAACATCCTGAATCTTAATAAAATGTATATGGGGTACAAACAAGGCTAATCCAGAGAGTTTGCTGCCTGAAGCAAAGGGCAAGATGGCATGTCACTCAGTTCCATGTACTTAACTGGACTATAGTTAAACCTTGCTTCAACACTGGCTTTTGGGGCTTTCACATATTTGTTGGCAACCGGGGCAGTTTGAGAGTGCAGCACAATCTATGGGATACTCTCAGCTGTATTTTCCATAAGAAGAAAATGGCCAATGGGTTCAAGAAAAGCAATGACGGACTGCCACACGAACCATCCAATATCTGTAGGCTGGAGTGGTTGCATCACCCTGTCTGACAGTAGGGATGGCCTTGGCCTCTGCAGCAAACAGGAGGGTGGCCAGATGCTGTTTCCTGAAAATGCGGAAGCAATCGCTACAAAAGACAAAAAACGCAAGATTTCCAGGTGTGGGAATATTGTGTTTTTGAGCCAAATATGCGGATCTTCGCATGTCTGTATGTCCCTGCAATCGGAAATCACTGGATTTTTTATCTGGGTTTGTTCCTGGGTTTTAGATGTTTGTTCCTGATTGTTGTTCCCTAAAACGGAGGTGACACTTGAGTAGAAGGCAAAAACTTTGTTTGTGTGACACATACTTCATGAAACATCTGGAGGGCATAGTTTCTCTGACCAGGACAAAGAACAGAACTTTTTCAGTGATTTGCTGCAGTGATTCTCCACATATCCACATCTTGATGGTTTTTTTAAAAAACGCTGAAGTTTCCGGTGGAAGTCCCACAGTGGCCATCTTGGGAGCCTCTAAATCTCGCAACAAAGCATCAAGTCTGGATAATGAAGGCAGAAATTCCGGGACTAACAGGTCTGTGTAAGCTCACAGCAGCCGCTCCCAATAACGACACAGGACGCCAATCCGTAATCAATCAGGAACTTTTACTGCTGGACATTCATACACGAAGAAAGCCAGGATTGGCCCGCAGCCGCAGTTTAACCCTTATATACCCTCCCTCACAATTGAATTCCCTTTTCCCGCCGGCCGAGAATCCCGCGCAATATTCCCCGCCAAATGCCAACTGCTTCCCCCCAAGGCCACCAGCTGCACATTCTTATCAGCAGTCCATGTCAGGATTCTGGTTTTTTGCGCCAAGACTCAAGGCCTGGAAACCGGTTCCTGACAGGTCTGTATGTGGACCTCTTCTGAAGTCCCGGGATTTTTTGCCCCTGTTTAAAACCCGTGATTTAGTGCTGCCTGGAAGCGCCTTCAATTTCATGTACTTAACTGGACTATAGTTAAACCTTGCTTCAACACTGGCTTTTGGGTCTTTCATATATTTGGTGGCAACTGGGCAGTTTAATAGGTGCAGAACAATCTATGGGATACACACAGCTATATTTTCCATAAGAAGAAAATGGCCAGTGGGTTCAAGGAAAGCAATGACGGACTGCCACATGAACTGTCCAATATCTGTAGGCTGGTGTAATTGCATCATTTTGCCTGACAGTAGGGCTGACCCTGGCTATAATGGCCTAAAACCTGTCAGAAAGGAGGTAAAAACTTCAACTTTATTCTTCACCAAACCTGGTTTTTCTAAGACTTTTTAAATCTCTGATGGGGTGATTTCTTATTTGGATCTCCGTTGTTAACAAGGATGATTCTACGATATGGTACAGAGGAGTGCCAGAATTTTGCTCATTTAACTCGAAAATAACCTGAAGTAATTAAAAGAAATATTGGATGGAACAATTTTGATGGAAATGTTGTGTATTTTGCAGCACTTTGACAATCTTTTTCCTTTGGAATACCAATAAATCTACCTCCATTTGTTTTGTATGTTTGGAGCATGATTCAATAGTAGGGGGAAAACTGGCGTGGCCAATGGAACTCTTGTTCCATTTGCTTTCTCCTCAGGCCTTTGAACATTCATTTGGCCTTAACAAAATTCTCCAGGTGCTGGAACAACACTTCTTTGAGTTTATGGGCCAGGTGAACTGCAATGAGGACAATGAGTCAGAATTTCAGGACTTGTAATTAGGTAGCCTGTAGTCCTACAATAAAACTCTAGAAACAGAGCAAGCATCGTATCTGACTTCCCTACAGCCTTCTTCTCACATCCACCTGTTTCCTAATGGTAGTGCTGATGTCTATCTCTAATTCTGCTCTGCGTGTTCAGGTTTGCTGTTCTACAACTACGGGTAAATTCTTCCTGTTGTCATTGTCTTCTTTCTCATTTGTTGCTATTGTTTCTAAGTTTTTGATATGATATCAAGAAAGTGTCCTTTTTCAATTACGTTTAATAGATCTAAGGCTGGATCTACACTGCTCTATAACCCAGGATCCGAATCCAGATTATCTGCTTTGGACTGGATTATATGAATCTACACTGCCATATAATCCAGTTCAAAGCGGATAATCTGGATTTTATATGGCAGTGTAGAAGGAGCCTAAATAGGAAGCTGATACATTAAATTGATTGGAACAAATAATCAGATCATTTTGTGTTAAAATACATTACCCACTGTCCTGCAGTATGTGGGTACCATGCTTATAATGAGTCTAGCTCGGGCATGGGCAAACTTTGGCCCTCCATGTGTTTTGGACTTCAACTCCCACCATTCCTCACAGCCTCAGGCCCCTTCTTTTCAGCTTAAGTGGATGAGGGGGAAAAGGAAAGGGTCTGAAGCTGTTAGGAATTGTGGGAGCTGAAGTCCAAAACACCTAGAGGTGTCTTGTAACAGACTTGCAGCATAGCAGGATGGGTGTATCTCTGCTCCAGTGAACAAATTATTTTTAAGTAAAAAGAGTATTAAAATTATTCTTATTACAAAGTTTTCCCACCCTATCAGGAATATTTAGGTATTAAGGATTACAGCCCTTTACTAATCTTCGATGAGGAGGCCCATGGATGACTGCAATGTAGGCATGACTGGGTGAGTCCAGGTGGCAGACTGATCTAGCCTCCTTGCCTAATTGGATGTTAACTTTGTTCAAGCTGCAGGGTCAGTGGAGGTCCACAGTCACACTTCTCAAGGACAGGGTTCAAGAACAATGGCAAGGAGGGCTTTAAGAACACAAATGAGTGATTCCAAAAACTTAGCTTGCCTCCTGCTTCCCCTCTTTGGAGGTCAGGTCCTCTCCCCTGAGTTGTGCCAATAAATTTGTCTCAATCTTTCCTAAATGATGGGGACTCAAGGATCCGGGGACAGGGGAGAGTAGTGATTTTGAAAATGGCTGGTTGAGCACAGAGAATGCAATGGGTGTGAAAAATGCTAGTGTATGCCCAGTCTGGGGGAATCTGTCATGTAGTGGCCTCTCTGGAGGACAGAGACACACAGGATCCTCATGGAGGTGCCACTCTTCCAAGTTCTTTGATATATTTTAGGAATCTCATTATTATGGTCATGGAGGGTTGAAGACTTGGATGAAAGGTCACACCAGTGGTTCCTCCCCTTCTCAAGGCAAGACAAAAAAAGATGAAAATGTTTCCACTGCAATGTTTAAATTTGTAATTGTTCCCAATGTTGTTTAACATCTACATGAAGTTGCTGGGAGAGATCATCTGGAGTTTTGGAGTTTGATGCCATCTGTATGCAGATGACATTCACCTCTATCACTCCACCTGCTGCTAAGAAGGCTGTCCAGGTTCTGAACTGGTGCTTGGTGACTGTGATGATCTGGATGAGGGTGAACAACTTGAAATTGAATCCAGACAAGACAGAGGTACTCCTGGTCAGTTGTAAGGCCAAACAGGGTATAGGGTTACAGCCTGTGCTGGAAGGGGTTACACTTTCCCTGAAGACACAGCTTCACAGCTTGGGAGTGATACTGGATTCATCACTGAGCCTGAAACCCCAGGTATCAGCAGTGATCAGGGCTGCTTTTGCATAATTAAAACTTGTGTGCCGGTTGCACCCGTAACTTAGGAAGCCAGACTTGGCCACGGTGGTCCACACTCTTGTTACATTCCGAATAGATTACTGCAATGCACTCTACGTGGGGTTGCCTTTGAAGACTGTTTGGAAGCTTCAAATGGTCCAACAAGTGGCAGCCATATTCATTACTGGAGTGATGCACAGAGAGCACACAACCCTCCTGTTATGCCAGCTCCACTGGCTGCCAGTCTGCTATTGAGCACAATTCAAAGTGCTGGCTTTAGGCTATAAAGCCCTAAACGGTTCCGGCTCAGCTTACCTGTCTGAACATATCTCCCTCTATGAACCATCTTAGAGGTTAAGATCTTCTGGGGAGGCCGTGCTCTTGGCCTCACCTCCTTCACAGGCGCAGTTGGTGGGAACGAGAGACAGGGCCTTTTCATTGGTGACCTCTTGTCTATGGAACTCCCTCCCTAGTGAAATCAGATTAGCTCCTTCCCTTCTGACCTTCAGAAAGAAAGTAAAAACATGGCTATGGGACCAAGCCTTCTGATAGTAATATAGTGCAATAAATGAATATGCAATTTGTGCAATGGCACTGGAATGGCTCTGGACTACGATATTGGATTGTGTGGTTTTAATAATAATTGGTTTAATGTTTAGATGTTCTAATTCTTTGATTTTAATGCAAATGTTTATTTTAATTGTATGTCTGCCAACTTGTAAGGCTGCTTTGAGTGCCCTTCGGGGTGAGAAGGGTGGGGTATAAATATGGTAAATAAATAAATAAACTTGTTAGATTTTGTGGCTCCAGTTTCCCCTCAGATAGAGAAGAAGAAAAAAAGCCTTCTACAATATGAGCTTTGGTGCATTTAATTTCCCATTTTGCTGAGGAAGATGGAGAAATCATCAAACTGGCTTCTGGCCTAGGCTTTGGGTGATGCAACCGAAGGGGTGCCAGAAATTAGATCTTAATCTAAGCAATATGTTCTTGTTGCTGTCTTTCCTGAGATTATTGCAGTGCTTTGGAGAGAGAGAAGTTTCACTCAGAGCCTGCCAAGTCTTTGCCAGCTTAAACAGAACATCTATTCACTCCTGCCTGAAATTATGGAAAAATTTAAACATTCTCTTATTGATGCTTCTGTAGCTGGCTTGATATCTGAGTCTCTTTTTGTAGGGATGGGGATGACCCCCCGCCTCAAATACTGAGGAGAAAAAATTCGTAGGCTTTTTGTGTAGGTCCCATGAGCCTTTGGCTCTCACTATTCAAGCAGTTTCAGTTTCTTTTGTGAGAGCTACTAGATGGACAAAATACTATCTTCCTCAGATCTCTGGAGATGGGACCAAGGTTAGGTAAAATATTAATAAATTGGCCAAAGTTCTTATGGCAGACGCCAGTCTCAGTTCAGTACAATTTGCCCTTAGGGCCATGACAGCTGGGGTTGCAGCCAGACACCAATTTTGGTTAAAATTGGAATGTGGATACTCACTTTAAGGCCAATTTGGCAATCCATTCCTTGAAGGGTATTAAAATAGCTCAGATAGTGGGAGTTCCAAGTCTCTCAGATCAAATTGACATTCTTTTAGACCAGTGGTTCTCAACCTTCCTAATGACACGACCCCTTAATAAAGTTCTTCATATCGTGGTGACCCCCAACCATAAAATTATTAGGTTCTTGTGGGTTTTTTCGGGCTATAGAGCCATGTTCTAGAGGCATTTCTCCTGACGTTTCGCCTGCATCTATGGCAAGCATCCTCAGAGGTTGAGAAGGTCTGTTGGAAGTAGGAAAAATGGGTTTATATATCTGTGGAATGGCTGGGGTGGGGCAAGGAGCTCTTCCCTGCTGCAGTTAGGTGTGAATGTTTAGCTGATCACCTTCATTAGCATTTGAAGGCCTGCCTGAGCCTGGGAAAATCTGTTGCTGGGAGGTGTTAATCTGTGCCTGGTTTTTCCTCTCTGTTGTTTTTCTGTTGTAATTTTAGAGTTTTTTAATACTGGTAGCCAGATTTTGTTCATTTTCATGGTCTCTTCCTTTCTGTTGAAATTGTCCACATGCTTGTGGATTTCAATGGCTTCTCTGTGTAGTCTGACATGGTGGGTGTTGGTGTGGTCCAGCATTTCTGTGTTCTCAAATAATATGCTGTGTCCAGGCTGGTTCATCAGGTGCTCTGCTATGGCTGACTTCTCTGGTTGAAGTAGACGGCAGTGCCTTTCATGTTCCTTGATGCGTGCCTTCGCGCTGCGTTTGGTGGTCCCTATGTAGACTTGTCCACAGCTGCATGGTATACGGTAGACTCCTGCAGAGGTGAGAGGATCCCTCTTGTCCTTTGCTGAATGTAGCATTTGTTGGATTTTCTTGGTGGGTCTGTAGATAGTTTGTATGTTGTGTTTCCTCATCATCTTCCCTATGCGGTCAGTGGTTCCCTTGATGTATGGCAGGAACACTTTTCCTCTGGGTGGATCTTCATCTTTACTCTCGTGGCTTGTTCTTGGTCTTGCAGCTCTTCTGATGTCTGAGGTGGAGTATCCGTTGGCCTGGAGAGCCCAGTTGAGGTGGTTCAGTTCATCTTGGAGGAGGTGGGGTTCGCAGATTCTTTTTGCACGGTCTGCCAAGGCTTTAATGGTGCTTCTTTTTTGACTTGGGTGATGGTTGGAGTTTTTATGTAGATATCTATCTGTGTGTGTGGGTTTTCTGTAGACGGTGTGACCCAATTGTTGATCTGGTTTGCGGATGACTAGGACATCTAGAAAAGGCAGTCTTCCTTCATTTTCTTTTTCCATGGTGAACTGGATGTTTGGGTGGATGCTGTTAAGATGGTCCAGGAACCTGTTGAGTTCTTCTTCTCCATGGCTCCAAATGGTGAAGGTGTCATCCACATATCTGAACCATATCGTGGGCTTTTTGGTTGCTGTTTCCAGGGCTTGTTCTTCAAAGTGTTCCATGTAGAAGTTAGCTATGACCGGGCTGAGAGGGCTCCCCATAGCTACTCCATCTTTCTGTTCGTAGAATTCATTGTCCCACTGAAAGTAACTGGTGGTGAGGCAATGGTGAAACAGAGCCGTGATGTCTTCTGGGAACCTCTGGTTGATGAGTGCCATGGTGTCTGCTACCGGGACCATGGTAAATAGAGATACCACATCGAAGCTGATCAGTTTGTCGTTGTATTTAGCTTGAGATTGCTGATTTTTTCTATGAAGTGGGCTGAGTCCTTGATGTAGTGTGTAGTGAGCCCAATATGGCTTTGTAACTGTGCAGCAAGAAATTTTGCTAGGTCGTATGTGGGGGATCCAATGGCACTCACGATGGGTCTGAGTGGGGTGGAGTCCTTATGGATTTTTGGGAGTCCATAAAGCCTGGGTGGAAGGACTTCCGATTTACATAGCTGTTGTCGTATGTCAAAGTTGATTGAGGAGTTCTTAATCAGAGTTCTTAATTGAACCAGCCTGGACACAGCATATTATTTGAGAACACAGAAATGCTGGACCACTCCAACAACCACCATGTCAGACTACACAGAGAAGCCATTGAAATCCACAAGCATGTGGACAATTTCAACAGAAAGGAGGAGACCATGAAAATGAACAAAATCTGGCTACCAGTATTAAAACACTCTAAAATTATAACAGCTAAACAACAGAGAGGAAACAACCAGGCACAGATTAACACCTCCCAGCAACAGATTTTCCCAGGCTCAGGCAGGCCTTCAAATGCTAATGAAGGTGATCAGCTAAACATTCACACCTAACTGCAGCAGGGAAGAGCTCCTTGCCCCACCCCAGCCATTCCACAGATATATAAACCCATTTTCCTACTTCCAACAGACCTCACTACCTCTGAGGATGCTTGCCATAGATGCAGGCGAAACGTCAGGAGAAATGCCTCTAGAACATGGCTCTATAGCCCGAAAAAACCCACAAGAACCTAGTGATTCCAGCCATGAAAGCCTTCGACAATACATAAAATTATTTTTGTTGCTACTTCATAACTGTAATTTGACTACTGTTATGAATTGTAATGTAAATATCTGATGTGCAGGATGTATTTTCATTCACTGGACCAAATTTGGCACAAATACCCAATACAGCCAAATTTGAATACTGGTGAGGTTGGGAGGGGATTGATTTCGTCATTTGGGAGTTGTAGTTGCTGGAATTTATAGTTCACCTACAATCAAAAAGCATTCTGAACATGATGGAATTGAACCAAACTTGGCCCACAGAACTCCCATGACCAACAGAAAATACTGGAAGGGTTTGGTGGGCATTGATCTTGAGTTTTGCAGTTGTAGTTCACCTACATCCAGAGAGCACTGTGGACTTAAACAATGATAGATCTCGACCAAACTTGGCACAAATACTCAATATGCCCAAAAGTGAACACTGGTGGGGTTTGGGGAAAATAGACCTTGACATTTGGGAGTTGGAGTTGCTGGGATTTATAATTTACCTACAATCAAAGAGAATTCTGAACCCCTCCAATGATAGAATTGGGCCAAAATTCCCTGACAGAACTTCCCACACATACTGTGTTTTCTGATGGTCTTTGGCAACCCCTCTGACACTCCCTTGCGATCCCCCCAAGGGTCCCAGCCTCCAAGTCTGGAAAGCTGGATTAGGGCCTTTCCAGTTGTAAAATTTATTCTTGACTTGTGATGGGTTACTCCTTCAGGAATCTCGAACCTTTGGGTAGGTCACAACTTAGTCCAGTCAGTATTTTGGCTGAAGGATTTCTTGAAGTTATAATCCATGCTTTCCTTTCATCAAGGATTATCATCATTTTTTTCTATTGCAGTGGACCTCTTTTGATCACTCATCATTATCTAACTGCCTGTGTGAGCCTTTTGAAATATTTTTGCATCTTTGCTTTTCTCTTCTTGCAGCTACTTTTTATCTTGGTGGACATCCTGGCAAAGGGCAATGACCAGGTTATGTCTTATTTCCACTTGAAGAAGTCCCAGCTGCCTGCGCTGGCTGCGTATCATACTCCAGATGAGGAGCAGGAAGTGCTGTCCTTGGATGACATCTCGGTGGAGATTATAAAAGAGTTCTGTGATGGCTTCTTACAGAAATTGCAAGCAGTGAGTATTTGGGGCCAGTTCTTAAATGACTTCTTCACTGGGCAATCACAGCTTTCTGCTCCATTATTATCCCCTGCTCTTTAGAAATGTGTCAGCTCTTCTACATTTGTCTGGAATACAGTTCCAATCTTGACAAAGGTGGTATGTATCAGATGAACTTAATAAATTACTTCTGGCTACACCTACTAGTGCAGTGTTTCTCAACCTTCCTAATGCCGCGACCCCTTAATACAGTTCCTCGTGTTGTGGTGACCCCCAACCATAACATTATTTTTGTTGCTACTTCATAACTGTAATGTTGCTACTGTCATGAATCATTTTGTAAAGATATGATATGCAGGATGTATTTTCATTCACTGGACCAAATTTGGCACAAATACCAAATACGCCCAAATTTTCATACTGGTGGAGTTGGGGGTGGGGGTGAGGGTTTGATTTTGTTATTTCAGAATTGTAGTTCCTGGGATTTATAGTTAACCTACAATCAAAGAGCATTCTGAACTCCACCAATGATGGAATTGAATCAAACTTGGCACACAGAACTCCCATGACCAACAGAAAATACTAGAAGGGTTTGGTTGGCATTGGCCTTGAGTTTGGGAGTTGTAATTCACCTACATCCAGAGAGCACTATGGACTCAGATAATGATAGATTTGGAACAGACTTGGCATGAATACTCATTATGCCCAAATGTGAACACTGGTGGAGTTTGGGGAAAGTAGACCTTGACATTTGGGAGTTGTAGTTGCTGGAATTTATAGTTGACCTACAATCAGAGAGCATTTTGAACCTCACCCAACAAAAGAATTGGGCCAAATTTCCCACACAGAACCCCCATGCCCTGAAGTGACCTGCACAAACGTCCCTCCAGCCTCACATGCTTTCTCTTGCCTGTGCATGTGCACCGTGCTGTCATGCGCCAAGCACGCCTGCTCTCCCCTCCCCACTTGGTGTCCCTGAAATAGCCCTCCCCTTGTCTGACAGGCCGGCTGAGAGGCTGGCCAATCACAGTGGAGGAGGGCTTTTGGCAGGAGGATTAGCCATCTGTTTCCAAAAAGGAAGAGAAGGACAGGCGGAGAGATCTTCAGTCTTCTCTGCCAAAGGGGTTCCTAAGGCCATCAGAAATATATGTTTTCTATGGTATTTGGTGACCCCTCTGAAAACCCCTCATGACCCCCCTAGGGGTCCTGACCCTCACATTGAGAAAGCAGTCCCTTTCCAGTAGTATAACATTGGCCCTCAAACTGGAAAAGGCTCTGCATTTGGATTCTATATTTCTTATTAGATCTATTATGTTTAAAGGTGTGAGTTCTTGGAAGTGAGGACAATAAGTTTTTCATATATTTAAAAGGGTTTTTTTTTAGTTCCTTCACTGTCCAAGACTATAAGCCAAGACTGAAGGCCATATTTCTGTGATTGTTATAATTTCTATCGATACACAGTCATGGGATAGTGTACGGGCAAAATTCTTATGTGAAAATGCTCTCTAAATAATTAATATTTCCCCAAAGTTGGATTGCTTCTTCTGAAAAAATGTGCAGTCTTAAAAGATATGCAGACTTATTTTGAAAATAACCTCTGAAGCCCGATTGGTTATGTTGAAAATAACATCTGAAGCTCAATTGGATGCAATTGGAGAAATGTGAATGATTATATTTAATGTCTATTTTCTTCTCTGGCTCCAAAAGTTTGTTTTCACAACCTTTGGAAATGTTTGGTTCTGTTCCTTTATTTTTATTTTGCCAGAGAATGGGGAAGGAGGTTTGAGACTCATGGAAAACTGTGGAGCTGTGGTGGAATATATGCGTAGGTGTTGGGGCAAAGGGACTCTCCAGGCCGAGGGAAAACTTTGGGAGCTGGCATAAGCAAAACTGGCTCATACGCAGCTCTGGGAATGATGGGGCCAACTGCTTTCGAGCACAACAAAAATGAGCTACCTTTGCATTGTGAATCACATTAGGAAAGCACCCACTCCAATATTTCATAGATGAAAACTGGGTCACTTGTGCTTAAGCACATCAGAATGTGGTCAAGATCACAAAATTAAGAATGAGGAAGAACACACAAACTAAGAAACTCAGCAGCAGTTTGCTTTTGTCTGAGTCGACTGGCAATGGCAAGATTCTGCACCTTTGCCTCTCTCCCCACTTTTGCACTTTGAACTCAGTTTGCAGCAAGTGAAGTACCTTATTTAGGAGATCCCTCATTGTCTGAATATGATGGCCTTCCAAGTGTGGTGTCTTGGCAGTGGGTACGAAGGTGATTGTGGAACCCTATTCTTGACCCACATGTTCTTCCACAGTGAGGGCGTTGGTTTCCAGGTGGAAGGTGGTCCCGGTTGGCTTGACGTGTCTTCCTCTTGTCACATGTCTCTCTTTTGCCCTCTATTCGTGCCTCTTTCCTGTCTCCCAACATTCCATTTTCCATTCTTGAGTTGGGAGTAGAGTAATTGCTTTGGAAGACGGTGATCTGGCAATTGGACAACATGCTGAAGTAAGCTGAAGACAAATAGGGAATGAAGGAAGAGGAGAGAAACTGAGATATTTTAAACACTGTTGAAAAAGCGAGGCAACAGAGATGAGTTAAGACTATTGGAGGGTGTGGGAATGGCAGTATATACATGTATTTACAGAAATCAAATAAACTCATGCCATATATCCGAAGTTACACATGGGGTGCTTTCTCACCCATCCCTTGTCAGGTATTTTTTAACAGAAGCTCCAAGAACCCCCCAGCGAGCATGGCCATTGGCTATGGGACTCTGGAACCCACAGTAATCTCAGCAAGCCTTCTCAAACCCTTTTAGCATTAATTGGTAAATGGTTATTATTATTATTATTATTATTATTATTATTATTATTATTATTTATAACCTTCTGCAGGAAACTCAAAGCGTCTTAACATAAAAGCATCAGCATACAATTTAAAATGTGCAAATATTAAAACAGGATTAAATATAAACAGTATTAGAAAAATTATTTATTTAGTATAATAATAATAATAACAACAACAACAACAACAACAACAACACTTTATTTATATTCTACCCTATCTCCTCAAGGGGCTTAGGCTGGATCACAGTACACATACATGGCAAACATTCAATTCTGTTTTGGACAGATAGGACAGAGACAGATAGAATACAAAAGAGGTATGTTGTGTCAACGCCCATCTTTGGAGGTTGTGCTTGAATCCAGCCACAAAGGAGTGCTGTCGCTTCGTTCTCTATGACAAAGAGCCATCAGGACTTCCTCCTTCTTTTTGATCGCAGGGCATTTTCTAATCTTTGTCTTTATGCTGATGTAAAATACCTCTCCTGCTTGTTTAGTAGTACCTAATTTCTCTACTTACAACTCAAGCTGTTTTTGAACTGCTTAGGTAAACAGTGAGTTGGGCTGACAGGTGGGTGCTCATGCTGACCTGGGGCTTTGAACTGGCAACCTTTTGGTTGGTGATTTACCAGCTATGCTAAAGCCCGGTATACTATATTTATACCCCACCCTTCTCAACCCTGAAGGGGACTCAAGGCAGCTTACACATAGGCAACTATTCAATGCCTTAAGAACAACATAAAATTAAAATAAACATTTAAATTGAAATTAAAAATTAATATACATTAAAACATTTAAAAACATTACCACGCCATCCAAAATTCTCAGTTACAACCATTCAAACATATTCAAAGTTAAAAACCAGTCTTCTAGTCTTTCTTAAAGAAACAATGCAAGTTAATACCAAAACATCTATGGATTCTGCTAGGGCTTCAGCAGCTTACAGGAACATGTTTGCAGATCTGCAAATGTTGAAACTGCCTGAAGCTTTTGTCCAAAAAAGGAAAACAACATTCCAGTCAAATAGGACCTGAAAAAGCCTGCTTGTTTTGTTTCAGGATTTGTTATTTCTGGTTGGTCAATAGTTTTACATTGGAATTCATGATTTAGGCTTGGTTTTCAGGACAGAGGATGCTAAGTACTTGTGCCCTGAAGAGGGAGTGACCTGATGCCAGGCGTGCCAAGTGAAGCCCCACAAAATGTCATGTATGTACCCCATGTGGAGAATTAAATTTAAATCAAATATTTGTCCTGACTTTTTAGAACTGAGTTTCAGAATTCCAAATTCACTCACTTACACACTTTCTCCTTTCTCCATTTTATAACAATTTAGCTCAGCACTAATGAATCATGTGTCAGGCAGAGTTCTCACCCTCTTTGGGGCGAGGCAAACCCCTTCTGAAACCAAGTCTTGTTCCTGTAGCTCTTCACTGTCAACAATGGTCTGGCAATGGCTTCCAGCTTCTGCCTCAGTCCCATCTGAAAATACCAGGGAGTGAACTGGGGCCCTTTATGTATAAATCATGCTACTAAGCTGCAGGGTGCATTGAAACTATACATTTATAGTGATACTAGCCATCCCCTGCCACGCGTTGCTGTGGCCCACTCTGGTGGTCATGGGGGTTCTGTGTGGGAGGTTTGGCCCAATTCTATCATTGGTGGGATTCAGAATGCTCTGTGATTGGAGGTGAACTACAAATCGCAGCAACTACAACTTTCAAATGTCAAGATTCTATTTTCCCCAAAAACTCCACCAGTGTTCACATTTGGGTATATTGAGTATCCATGCCAAGTTTGGTCCAGATCCATCCTTGTTTGAGTCCACAGTGCTCTCTGTATGTAGGTGAACTACAATTCCAAAACCAAAGGACACTACCCACCAAACCCTTCCAGTATTTTCTGTTGGTCATGGGAGTCCTGTGTGCCAAGTTTGGTTCAATTCCATCGTTGGTGGTGTTCAGAATGCTCTTTGATTGTAGGTGAACTATAAATCCCAAATGACAAAAGCAATTTTTTTTAGTGAAGGACATACATTGGGTTGTTAGGTGTCTTGTGTCCAAATTTGGTGTCAATTCATCCAGTGGTTTTTGAGTTCTGTTAATCCCACAAATGAACTTTACATTTTTATTTATATAGATGTCATGGATTCATCTTATGGAATCCTGAGCATTATAGTTTGGTGAGACATTAGAAGAGTTCTCTGGTTGGGAATAGACAACACTCCTACCTAAACTACACATTCCAGGATTCCATAGGACGGAACTATGACAGTTCAAAGGGAATTATAGTGCTATAATTGTTTGAAATTTGATTGTTTTAATGTGAGAATGATAATTCAGCCTTGCTGTTCATATAGGTTCCTCTTTGAACAAAGTACGTATATCTTGATGTTTCATACAAAGATTATTTGAGAAGGGTTTTCTCGTGTTTTCAGACGGCTCATGTAAAGGATAGTGAGACAACGTAAATGGCCTATGAAATGCTGCAATGAAGGGTCTGAATTTCACCAGTTTATTTATTTACTTATTTATTTGCTTCATTTTTACCCCTCAGGGTGACTTACAATGTCAGCGAGATTCAGTGCCACTTAAAACATAGTCATAAAACCTATACCATTTACTAAAAATAGTTAAAACAGTTAATAATAAACAAATAGAATAATAACAGATTGAAACACATAAAGTGCATGATTCCATTCATCCGTAATCCTTGCTCATAATCCTTATTCAGACTGTGTCGAAACTGTAATGATTCATTCTGCAAACACTTGTGTACAGAGCCATGTGTTTTAACTTTTTTTCTGAAAAGCAGCCAAGAGATGGGGCCTGCCTGGTGTCACTGGGGAGGGAATTCCACAACTGGGGGACCACCACTGAGAAGGCCCTATCTCTCGGTCCCACTACCTTTGCAAGCGTGATTGGTGGGACCGAGAGCAGGGTCTCCTCAGCTGATCTTAAAGCTCTTGCTTTCTCATAGGAGGAGATGCGTTCGGACAGATAAGCTGGACTAGAACCGTTTAGGGCTTTATAGGACAAGTTGCTTTGTATAGCTCTTTTCACCTGTCTCCATTCTCTCTTTATACCAAAGATCATTGGTTGAGGAGGCCCTGCTCTCGGTCCCACCACCTTCACAACCGCAATTGGTGGGACCAAGAGCAGGGCCTCCCCAGCCGATCTTAAGGCTCTTATTGGTTCATAGGCAGAGATACATTCAGACAGGTAAGTTGGACTATAACCATTTAGTGCTTTATAGGCCAAGTTGCTTTGTAAAGCTCTTTTCACCTGTCTCTATCCTCTCTTTATACTAAAGATTATGATATTGACACTCTTCCCCTTGTTTTGTTTTGTTTCAGAAAGAAAAGCTTAAGACGGAGGATAATGTCCTGAAAGAGGAGCTCTGATTCCTTTCCAATTTGAACAACAGCATGTGTCCTCTGCAGTTCTATACTTAAACTTGTTTTTGATGGGAAAATAATCAACTGCAATTCAAGAGCCCGGTGATCTTGACAACTTGAAAAACATCTCAGGCTATGCCAACTGAATGGATATACTTGTCATAAATCTTTCTGTTAAATATCCTATGTTATAAGTTCAGTCTTTTCGCTTTTGTTCTTAATTCATTAGAATTTGAACTGTATTGAAAATGATTTATTTTTATTTATATTATTTATGCATTGAGTTCATATCTTATCTTTCTACCAAGATGGGGATATGGTGGAAGTCTTGTGGGCTGCTGGCTAGACAATTGGAAATAGAAAGCGTTGGCTGTTGCACAGCTAGGTACATGTCAGCCAAGCGATCTTTACTCATTGGAAATCAGTAGCATAGTAGAGCAATTACCACAGCCTGTACCTTAGTAAGGGAGCTGGTTTCACTGTACATGGTCTTCACCTGGTTTCTCAGTCTACTTGGCACAATTGGAGAAGATCTGGAAACAGTAAAAACCAGATGCAGGTACTAAGTGTTAACTAGAGAAGAGGTTTTATCCAGCTAATACCTTAAAGTGTTTCTCAACCTGCGTTTTTCAACCTGCGGGTTGGGACCACTGGGCAGGCTGAGAGGGTGTGTCAAAAGGGTCGCCAACAACCATCAGAAAACACAGTATTTTCTGTTGGTCATGAGGGTTCTGTGTGGGAAGTCTGGCCCAATTCTATAGTTGGTGGGTTCAGAATGCTCTTTGATTGTAGGTGAACTATAAATCCCAGCAACTACAACTCCCAAATGTCAAGGTCTATTTTCCCCAAACTCCGCTAGTGTTCACTTTTGGGCATATTGACTATTCATGCCAAGTTTGATCCAGATCCATCATTGTTTGAGTCCACAGTGCTCTCTGGATGTAGGTGAACTACAACTGCAAAACTCAAGGTCAATGCCCACCAAACCTTTCCAGTATTTTCTGTTGGTCATGGGAGTTCTGTGTGCCATGTTTGGTTCAATTCTATTGTTGGTGGAGTTCAAATGCTCTTTGATTGTAGGCGAACTATAAATCCCAGCAACTACAACTCCCAAATGACAAAATTAATCCCCTCCCAACCCCACCAGTATTCAAATTTGGGTGTATCGGGTATTTGTGCCAAACTTGGTCCAATGAATGAAAATACATCCTATATATCAGATATCTACATTACAATTCATAACAGTAGCAAAATTAATGTTATGAAATAGCAACAAAAATAATGTTATGGTTGGGGGTCACCACAACATGAGGAACTGTATTAAGGAGTTGCGACATTTGGAAGGCTGAGAACCACTGCAATAGAAGGATGCAATGTATGCACTTTGTGTTTTCCATTTTGGGGAAATAGTTTTGTGAGGCACAACAGGAAGTCCATCTGCTGCAGATTAATGCTGAAGTTTTGATTTGAAAAAGCATGGTGTACAAATGCACCCTCACAGGGATACCAACAGAAGGTAGACTGAGAGAGACGTACCTATGTTGATCTTTTAAAATGCTGTAAAATGTGGTGTGTGGGTTATACTTGGGTGGCTTAAACTGGAGTACTTGTTGGTCTGCAAATGCTGAAGAGTGGAGAGGTATGCAAAAAGAGTGTGAGCTTTCTCCTTGAGCCATTTTATCACAACTGCGCCAAGGAGCTTGCCTCACTCTTGGCTCACTTTCCAGACTGAAAAGATTGCTACTGCATCAAACAGTTGCCACATTGTCCCTCAGGAATGGATTTGACTTTGAGGGGAACTGCTAAGTGCTGCAGAGCAGAGACACTACAGAACACCCCCTGTCTAACATTGGCCCATGGAGCGGAGGAAGAGGTAAAAAGCAAGTCTTGTTCTTGCCCTGTTCAGCACCCATCTCTGAAGCCTGAAACCAACAAGAGTGATGTGTGATGGCAACAGAGCAACATAACAGCTAAGGGAATGAGATATACTGCACTGCCAATGGTTCTGGAGGAAAGAAATCTCTATCCTGAAAAATAGCTTGTTGTATCCTACATGTTATTGCTGCCTCCTTTCCCCCTGCTTGTTGTTTTTTTAATCTCATAACTTCATTACCCACTCTTAATTACACTGAATCAGTACCAGAACTGCAGGTTTGGACAACTTACTATGTAATCTTGGCACAGAAATACATGTGGAACTCATACATTTCAGCTTTGGATCATGCTGCATTCAGAGCTGGCAAAACAAACATGCACACACATGCCAGATCTTAGTAATCACACTGTTAAAATGCCACGGTAATTCATTAATCTTTTAAGTAACATGGGGCCCACTGTCACTTTTAGACATTTAAATAATAATTTTAATGTTAGGGATTCTTTGCATAATGATTTTGCAGAAGTTGGGGACAGAATATTTTAAGTGGCATTTTGTGTTGTGTGTTGTGGTGTTGTGTAGGTTTTGGAAGATGCCTGTGTGTGAATTTAATTTATGTGTGGAGATAGATGCACAGCCGATTAACACACAGTCTTCACAGAATGAGGGTCCCACCCAGTGGCATGGTTGCCACAATGGTGGCTTCTCATCTGTTGCAGCCTTCTTACACCTTCACAGCTTTGTAACATGTACGATGTTATCATCTGCCTGTTTCGTCGCTGAGGTCTTCAGATTGTTTCCATGGATTCCATGGACTGGGTCCTCCCCTGCAGCCCCTCTTAGGAGTACATGACTCCGACGGAAAATGTAAGGCCCTTCACCATAACAAGGTAACAATCCTGCAAATCTCTTGGGAAGACACGCGGACAAATGTCAGCGTGCTAGAAGAAGCAAAGATCACCAGCACTGAAATGATTCTTCGCCATCAACTTCACTGGACTGCCTATGTTATTCAAATCCCCGATCACTGTTACTATACTCCCAACTCAAAAACGGAAAATGGAATATTGGTAGACAGGAAAATAGATTTAAAGATGGTCTTAAAGCCAAGCTTAAAAACTGTGGCATAGACACTGAAAACAGGGAAACCGTGGTCTTTGAACGTTCTAACTGGAGGTCAGCTTTTACCAACAGTGGTGTGGTGAAAGGGAGAAATGTGTCTGGCAGAAGGCATGTCAAGCCAACCCTGACTGGGACTGCCTTCCATCTGAAAACTGATGTCTTCACTGTGAAAGAACCTGCAGGTCAAGAATAGGCCTCTACAGTCACGTACGGACACACTACCAAGACTCTACATTTGGAAGGCAAACATACTCAGACACAAGGGATCGCTGATGAAGATGGAGTTGTGTAGTGTTGGACTAGGACTCTGAGATTCCTTTTCCATGGATTCAGCCACCTGCACTTCAAGATGGGAAGATGAGTGCTTATACTCTACAGAGATTGATACTGAAGACTCTTTTGTTTTACAAACTCAACATGAAGAGGCTGGATAGAATGCCCTGAAGCATGACAAACAAGTGAACCATCCTCAGTGGCTCTTCATAGTCCACAGCTTTGATATTGTCATGGAGGCTTCGATATCATGGATTGCCCTGGTGTCAAAGGTAGGAGAGGTTGAGCCTCCACATCAACAGATCATGGTGAGAGACAGATTAAGAAATTGGGATCCTGGACATGTCTGTAGCCTTCTCGGAGTCCCAGAGAGATCTTTTCAAAGCTACCTGAACCAATGAACCAGAGGTAGTCAGCGCCAAGGAAGACCAGGATGGTAGAGACCCATGATGGTTGTCCTATCAGAGGCTTTTGGGACTTTCTCTCACAGGAGAGCCTTGAACCTAGAGCAGTTCCTGTGCAGTGAATGCTGGGCATTAAGAGCAGACACCCACATCAAAAGGCAGTGTGGGGGACCATCTTTCTCAGGAATCTTGGACTCAGAAGAGATACACTTTTTGAAGGAAGCCAATGAATCTGTTGTAAACTACACTGCTAACTGAACCACCAAGTCAAATAAAATCCATTATAGAAGTTATAGATTCCTACATCAAACCGAAAATCAGACTCCAGAACCAATCCAAATTGCAATATAAGAAGAATCAAATAATAAATCAGAGTCCAAAAAACAAGTCAAAAAATTCAGAAGAGATTGCAACAAGCTCACTAACAGTCTCTTTGATGCTAGTGAGGTGGCGGCGGAAAAGGAACCGAGCGACTGAGTGTGAACTGCAATGGCCACATGTACCATTGGGGGGGTTGTGACTGCCAAAAGGTATACATTTTAGCTCTAGAAGGCTCTGAATGACACACTGCACAGGCACAGATAACCCATTATTGTGGGTCACCAGGGAAAATAAACCAAATTCTATGCTGCAGAGTGAGGTGGTCTATTCAGGCAGAAGACTGGTTGGGAATGTCATATGATAAGATAAATGCATATATGTTTTATATCGTGTCCTGTATCTCCTAAACTAGATTGCTATTTGAAATATGGCAGAGGACCCTGTTCCATCATTAATGTGGAAATAAGACTGAGCTGTCAGTCAGGGAAACAGCTGTACATAGAAATGAGAAAAGTGCCATCTTGTCCTTTCTTCTGGCAGAAAAATGTCTTGGTTTAGACCTGAAAATAACAATATATAGATTTCTGGTCTAGCCAAAGATACTAGAAGTATGCTGGAAGTGTTAGGCCATTACAAAAGAAGAATAGCTGTCTTGATTGTCTTCTTGGCATGTAATAATGTGAATCATTTTCATTCATATGAGGCAAAGGAAAAACAAAACAGGATGTAAGAGGGCCTTGTGGTTATGCTAACGTGCTTGTGAGCAGAAGATGCCTCCCTAGTGACTGTCCCGCAAGTGTACTTAGATAATTATAGAGACAGCTTTTTAAAGAGGCTTGTTATGTACATTGGTAAGTTTAATTCCCATCCTTTCTTGTCTAGAAGACCACACTCAAAACAGAAAGCCCACGAACTTGTAGTGTAGCCAAGAAGTCCTCCTCCATCCTCCCACAGCTGGTCATAACTGTCGAATTGTAAAATATAGAAAGCTGCAGGATGATGTCCTCAAGAGACCCTCCAGCTGGTGGAGCATTAAGAAAGGCCGAGGACAGAAAACTTTGAGTTCCTCAAGAAGCTCAAAGCATTTTTGAGATATCAGATCAACAAGTCTGGACACCGGTATGTTTTACTGAGGGAAAAGGACATATTTGGTAAAGCAGCGTACCACTTCCATTGAACTGATATGGACC